TATTTCTGTCGTAAAATGACGCGATCTTTGATGCTGTAAAGACACAGGGGGGACACAGGGAGAACAGTCAAGAGGATTTTTGCCAAGAGATGATGCTAGAATAGAGGAATTTTTTTTTAAAAAAAGAGAGGATTCCAGGTAAAAACTAGAGTTGGAATCAATGGGATTTGTTGATGGACAGGAGGCAGAGGGAGAAGAAAGCTTCCTGTTTCCCTCGTCCCAAGTTACAAACCTGATCTTGTTTTTATTTGCTTAAAATAAAAACCTTAAACCCTCTGGGTCTTCCTGTCACACTTGGTATGAAGTCCAAACTCCTTTTGGTGAGTTATAAACTGGCCCCTGGGGAGCTTCAGCTGTTGCTAGATACATTCCCTAGTCTCTGCGCTCCTGGTTCCTCAATTCGGCCCTCCCACACCCCAGCTTTCTCCTGAGAACTGCTGCTCACCATCTAGGTCTCATTTTAGGGCATCTCCTCCCAATCCCCCCAGGATGGATTCAGTGCAGAGGCAACTCATGCACGTCTCTCCCCAACTCCGCTTTCAGTGGTGCCATTTTGGTAGCTTGCAGTCGGCCATGATGGTATTTAAACCACAGAAATCAGCACATGCTACACATCTGTGTGCCCCTCTCTCCCTGGAGAGTGGTTGTTACGCATTCACCACACATTGCCGAGTGGCAGTGGGTGTCTTTGATTTAGTGCTTCCCTTGGGCTCCGGCGGCCTCCTGGCTTCTCCTCACCGCCCTGTGCTAGTGGCTTATTTCTGCGTCAACCTCCCCCGCCAGACAGAGCTCCCCGACGGCCGTGTTCCCCGGAGCTCCCAGCCCAAGTGCAGCCTGTGGCTAGAGCACGTGCCTCTGAGGTCTCTTAGGGAGCAAGTGAGTCATGGGTCGTTCACAAGGGTCACTGAGTGGGGCGGTCCCACGTGGCAGGCAGGGCCGGCCTCCACCCCACACTTTTATTCTCTTTAGAATAACGTCCTGTGGATGCTCTCTTAGGACGCTGGGGATGAAGCCCAAATCACCGCAGAGGAGAGAGGCAGCAAAGGCACCAAACTTCCCAGAAAGGCCAAGTCGTTTTGCAAATCTTGGAGCTGGATCTTACGGAACCATTCGGAGCACCCATCTGTTTTTGACAGGGCCCAGCCTGTGAATCTCAGGCCCACAATCTGTGAATTTCTATTAACTAAAAAAAACAAAACAACACATTCTGCTATCATATTCCTTGCTTACAAGGGAGAGGCCTGATGGGCCACCGAGTCGCCTTGACTCTACTCTCTCTGTCTCCCTTCCATCCTCTCTCTCCTGCCCCTCCTGCCATCTCACACCCAGGTCAGGAACACGTGGAAGAGATGATCTCTGTGGGCTTCCCATTCCCGGGGTGGCTGCTTTCAATGAAAGCTAGACTGCCAGGGCCGGGAGCAAAGGCAGTTGAGACATCTCTGAGTTTCTGGGACCCTGGACACATGGCAATTGGAACTTTTACTATTAGCAGGGCTGCTCTTTGCCAAGGCCGCCTTGGTAGCATGAATCAAGAGCTTAATGATGCTCAGGGCCTTGACATAGAAATTCCCCTCTGATGATCTCAAGGGAAGAAACAGAGGTGTGTCAGATAAGGCTTTCTATCTCAGCCCCAATTATAGCATCAGTATATTAGAAGAATCTGAGCGTTCACCATGTCACAGAATACTGCATAGATACTAACAACAGGGTTTTTGACATTATTTAATGATATGGAAAAATGACCATGACATGGTATTAAGGGAGGAAAACAGAATACAAAAGATATATATGGCATATAAACGTATATAGAAAAAAATATGTGGGGATGTATGTGTCCAGAACCAGTGGGGGCAGTAGCATCACTGCCATTTGACCACACTTCCCATGGTGATAAATCAGCCCTTTTTTCTCACTTTCTGCCCTCCCAGAAATTCCCTATTTGATGTTCATATGAAACCCACTTGTGTTTGACCCAAGAAGGGTGAGAGGCTATTTTGTACTGATTTAAGAAGAGTGTTTTGGGAAAATGCAGTATATTCTGTTCCATAGAAATACATGAAGCTTTAGTGTAATAAGCATCTCATAATTGGACTTGAACACTAAATTTCATTCATCATACTGTGTTTCAGTATAATGGTGACTGATGTCTATTAAAACAGACTCTGGAATACCATGCCATTTCACATATTTTTCATGTGTGAAAAAAAAAGTTTTTTTTAAAAATAACACTCTAGAATGCTATTCTGTGATTCCCTAGACCCTCTCCAACTCTCCCATTCAAGGGTAAGGGCACCTGGGTAAGGGCATAGCAGAAAGACTGAAAATATAAGATAATATATGGATAATAATGATGTGTACGCTGGCTAATAGTTTTTGGAGTGATCTCTGTTACTTTATTTTGTGGAATTTATTGACTATGAGAAACATGTAAGCAGGAGAACAAATTAAGAAGGAAAACGGGTACTGTCTGTTGGCTAAGTCAAATTACTTGGAAGATTACCTAAGAATTACAGTCAAATCTGTGATTCCACAGCTCCAGGATCCTGAAGCTGAGGCTTCCAAGGAGGACCTCAGGCTGTGCGTCAGACAACTTCATCACCAAGTGCTGACCCTGCAGTGCCAGCTCCGAGACCAAGGGTCTGCACACCAGGAGCTGCAGGCTTCTCGGGATGAGGCTGCCCGTCTCCGGTGTGAGCTCAAGGAAAAGGTAGGCTGGGCCCACGCTTCCCTTTCCCGCCTGAAAACCAATGTTCCCTCACTTGGAAAAGTTTTGAGAGTAGAAAAAAGAAGTAGGTAAGATCTCACTGGCCCTTTCCTGCAGTTTGTAAGTATTTATTAGATTTTGAAAGTGCAGAGCAGTATAGGGAAGAAAAAACAGCCTGTAATCCCTCCATCCAGGTAACCTTTGTTAGATCTAAAAATAATAATACATGTGTATGGCTTTTTAAAAAATCAAAAGGTTTTTTTAAAAAATAAATCCATCTACAATTTATTTGGGGATAGATTATGAGGAAGGCATTTGATTACCTTTTTCTCCAAGTAGATAACCAAATATAACTTCATTCTTTTCGGAAGGCATATTTCCTCCATGGATTGACATGTCCTCCTTTTTGTCAAACGGTTTTTTAAATGTTACATAAATAAAAGTCCTTTCTCTGTAAGGAGGGAAGTGGGTGTGAATATAAAAGAGCAACAAGAGAGGTCCTTGTGGAGTTGGAACAGTTCAGTATCTTGTCTGTGGTGGTGGAGACACAAGCCTACACAGGTGGTAAAATTGTACAGAACTTGGTACACACACACACACACACACACACACACACACAATGTACACAGGAGAGACCCGAATAAGAATGGTGGATAGGGATTAGCAGATGCAAACCATTATATATAGGATGGATAAACAACAAGGTCCTACTGTATAGCCCAGGGAACTATATTCAATATCCTGTGATAAACCATAATGGAAAAGAATACAAAAAAGAATATATATATATGCATCACTTTGCTGTACAGCATAAATTAACACAACATTGTAAATCAACTATACTCCAATAAAATAAACCTTTAAAAAAAGAAGGGTGGATTGTATCCACATCAATACCTGGTTGTAATAGTCTATAGTTTTGCACAATGTTCCCATTAGAGGAAACCAGGCAAAGTATACAAGGGATCTCTCTGTATTATTTTTTTAAACTGTATGTAAATCTAAAATTATCTCAACCTTTAAAAAATGCAGAAAAATATAGTCCTTTCTCCCCCTCAACCCCAACTCTTCCTAACTTCCTTTTTCTTAACCCTATCTACCCACATTCAGTACGTGTGTGTACATATATGAAATCATACCATACGGAAACATTCTGCATCTTGCTATTATCATTTAATAAAAAATTGTGGTGATATTTCCATATCAATACATGCAAACTGAGCTTCATTGTTTTAAACTCTTGCACATTATTTTTCAAGAGACCAAACCATAACTTCCTTAACCATTTCTTTGTTTATGGAAATCTAAATTGTTTCTGTTACTTTGCTTTACAAACGAACATTTTATACATTTTATACATCTGTCTTGGGATATGTTTCTGCTGCATCCTGGTGAAAGAGTTACTGGGTCAAAGGCTATGTACATAATTAACTTTGATCGATAATGGCAAATAACCCTCCAAAATGTTGCATCATGTATACTCCCACCAGAAATAAATGAGTGTATTTGTTTGGCTACAACTTGTCACCCTGAGTCATATCACACTTTACATTTTTTTTGGCAAAGCGACGGGTGAAAATACACTATCAACATTTTAGAGTGATTTCCAACTCCTTCTTATGCATTCTTTGTATAATCGAATACACTATACATGGAGTTCTATGTCCTCTGTCCATGTTGCTTCATAGCTTTCTTGTCCCTTATTTTTTGGACTGTGCAGTAATCTATGGGGTGGATGTGATTTCTGTTCCCCTACTGTTGGATCTTTAGTTATTTCCATTAATTTATATATCGTTGGTTATATACAATAGTTCAGAGAACTGGGATTACTGGCTTAAGGAGAAGAAATAGTGTTCATTCTAAATACATATTGCAAATTTGCTTTCCAAAGTATTGGCACCTACCTCCAAAGCCAAGGCAATTAATGAAGGTATATTTGTCACTGTGCCCTCAACCAGCGTAGGAGGTATGATGACTTTTTTGTCCTGTCTGTCACTGATCTGTGAAAAATAGAACTCCAGTTACACACGTTAGACCTCTTTACCCTATCCAATATATGTTTAAGTCTATTTTTTATTCTTTTCATTCTTTTCGTCTTTCTCTGCTTCAGTTTGGATATTTCTTTCTAATCCACCTTCCAGTTACGTAATACTCCTTAGGTGAGTCGAATTTGCTCTTAAACTCATTATTTTAGTTCTTCATTTCAGGTATTGTATTTTGCAGTCTTAGAATTTCCATCTGACTAATTTTTTATAGCTTCCAGTTCTCTGATGAAATTCTTGTAATATAATTATTAAACGTTTCAATCAAAGTTATTTTCAGGTCTGTCTCTGATAGCTCCATTTTACACTCCCACTAACAATGGATGAAGGTCTCAACTTCTCCACATTCTCACCAACATTTGCTACTGTCTGTCTTTCTGTTGCTAACCATCCTAGTGGGTGTGAAGTGGTTATTCTCACTGTGGTTTTGACTTGCATTTCCATAATGGCTAAGAGTGTTGAGCATCTTTTCATGTGTGTATTTGCAATTCATGTATCTTTTTTGGAGAAATGTCTATTCAGATCCTTTGTCCGCTTTGTGATTGGGACGTTTCTTTTTTTGTTGTTGAGTTGTAAGAATTTGCTATATATTCTAGATACAGTCCCTTATTAGCTATAGGATGTGCAAAATTTTCTCCCATCCTGTTGTCTTTTCACTTTCTTCTCGTCTGTTTTTTAATTGCAAATGCCCCAGTACACAGCTCACAGAAACATATTCATGCTATTTCTTAAACTGAAAAAGAGAGATTTCATCCAAGCCTGCAAATAGTATCGTGTGCCTTTCAGATAGAGGACAGTCTGCTTGGAGCCGGCCTTTTACTCTTCAAATATATTCAGAAACGTGTGCCAAAATAGGAATATAGAAATGTTCATTAAAGCCTTGTTTGTAAAGCAAAAAACAGAAACAATATACGTTTTCATAAACAAAGAATTGGTTAAATAAATTTTGTTTCAACCTCATGATTAAATAATATGCAAGATTTTAAAAGACTGTGATCGGTTTGTATGTAATAACGTGGAATTAACACCACGATTTTATATTAAATGACAAAAGCAAGCTGTACAACATTTTGTATAGTACATTTCATGTGTGTATGTGTGTGTGTGTGTGTGTGTGTGTGTGTATACACATATGAATTCTGATCATGGGTACGTAGGGTTGAAAATAGTATTAGAGGTCAGAAGGGGTCAAGGCGAGAGGAAGAATTACTTTTATTTATCTAGCTTTCTTGTACTGACTACAGAGGGACTCAGAGAGTGAGTGAGAAGAATTCACAGAACACCTGTCTTGTTGCGGCTTATTACTGTGTGCCTTTTGAATAGAAGACAGTGTGCTTGGAGCTGGCCTTTTACTCTTCAAATATATTCAGAAACGTGTGCCAAAATAGATGCATAGAAATGTTCATTTTGTGGAACAGGAATTTAGGCAGGTCTCGGCCGGGCAATTCTGCTCTGCAAAGCATCAGTGGGGATCACTTGGTGGTATTCAGCTGGACGCTGGGCTCGGCTGGAAGGTCCAAGGTGGCTTCACACGTGTGCCTGCCGCAGAGAGTAATAATGATTTATATTCATCGAATGTTCACCAGATGCCAGGCCTAGTCTAAGCACTTCACAGTAATCGATTCACAGAGTCCTTATCCAATCCTTGCCGTTAGGTGGACACTAGTACTAACCCCACTTTCCAGATGAGAAAGCTGAGGCAGAGAAAGACTTGAGTTGCACAGGGTCACAGTTTCTAGTGAGTGGCTGGGCTGGGGTTAGGGTGTCTGGCTAGGGAACCTACAGGTTTAACACCACACCAAAGAACTCTGGCACCTCTGCATGGGGAATGGGGAAGGCTTCCTTCCTGAAGTGCGAGGCAACAGAACTGGCCCTGGCAACTGCAGTCTGGCAGAGCTCATTCTCCAGTGCTCAGAGCTTCCTTCCTCCTCTGATCTGGCCGAGGAGCTGATGGGAAAGGTCCCTGTTCCCACCAAGAACTCCTGTGGGGAAAGAGGGGGATAAGAGCCAACCTCTCTGAGCATGGCTCGCCTGTGGACGCACCGAGCTGTATAATCCACGGCTCAACGTTTTCAAAAATCTTGGTTCTCTTTCAGCTTGATGCACTTCAGAAAAAGCACCATGAAGCAAATTTGGCTGTGACCCCTTTGAAGGTAATACATGTGTGAAATCAATATGAAATGTCCCTTTCAAAAGAAATAAGAGCTTTAGTATTTTTCCCATTGGGAGGTAGTCCATTTCTATTGTGTAAAAACACTGGAAAGAAGACGGAAAGAGACACGTGGCACCCCAAGTCCCTATTTGAATCTAGCATTTGCATGTATTTTCTTCCAGTATATTTTCCATGTGTCTGAGGTCCCACTATACCTGTACGTCTGTGTCTGGCTTTTTCCACTTGGGAGTATAACCCATATAGGGGCTGTCCTTGTCTTTACCAGCCTTCGAAGCTGCCGTTCATGCTGCAGTCTGAAGCAGGAGCCACCGCAGTTCATAAAGCTGCCAGACCCTTTCGGGTGTTCAAATCCCTCTGTCCATCCTCCTTCCCTCTCTCCCTCCCTCCCTCTCTCTTTTGCATTATTGCACACAAACACCATCATGCACATTTTTTATTAGAAAAGTTTTCCCCACATATCTAGACATTTCTTGAGGGCAGATTCCCAGAAATGACATTACTGGCTCACAGGGTTTAACGTGCTAATTGAAAGTGTAGTTTGGTTGAGGTGACACATTTCATCTCAGATATGGCACTTGGATTTGGGCAGTGGACCTGGAGGGGCTGCTTTTTCTTTCTACTCTCTGGGCAGGGTGGGCTAGGAGGGGGCTCTGGCTGGGAGTTAGAAGGACATGATTGAGCCCCGGGACCCCACTGACTCGCCAAATCCCACTCACTCTGAAATAACAGTAATTCCTGCTCGGCTGCTCTCACAGCTTCTTTGGACCCTCCATGGATGGTGTCCATGGAAGAGTGGAGAGCAAAGTGTAAAGCTCTTGAAAATGGGAGGCTTTCTTGCTCCTTCGTTATTTTCATCATTTGCTATATACCATTTACTTAAATGAGGACCGTAACCCCTTGTACACGACAAAGCGCTTTACAAACTCAAGATGGAAAGATGGAGACTCAAGATGCCCCCAGGGGCGTCATTCACCGCTGGAGGCTGTTTTCTCATCTGCAGATGGGAACTGTGATTCGTGGCGTGGGAGGTTTTGTAAGGATTCTAATGACGATGGCCACTCTCTGTTGAATGCTTGCCATGTGCCAGGTACTCCAGACATATTTTCTCAATAGCACAATTTCTCAACATGTCAGGGACGTGTCAGGAACATGAACGCTACTCTATGGATAGGGAAACTGAGGCTCAGAGAGATGCAGTGCCTTGCCCGTAGTCACACAGAGCTACTCAGTGGCAGAACCAAGATTTAACCCAGTTCTGTCTGATGCCAAAGGCTGCAACCTTCCCCTTGGCCTCGCTGTCTCTCCAAGAGCCCAGTGGAGTCATTGTCACCATCAATAATGGCCTCTTTCTTGGGAGAGCTGCACATAGTAGGTGTTCAGCTGATGCTGGCTGAATGAAGAGGCCTCGATGTTTTAGGGATGTGATTCAGGGGGCCTGGGGCACCCCAGCGTCCAGGTCAGACCACCCTCCTGTGCTGCCTGCCTGCAGTACTGGGCACCCGGACATCACTGCCTAGAAACTGATGTGCAAAGGTCCCTGACCCTCTGGGATGGGCTGAGAAGGGAGTTCTGGCAAGAAGGGGTCATCACCTCCTCCGATGGAGCAGGAGATGGCGAGAGTCTATCAGTCCCTCCGGACATGCACAAATGTGGGAGGTCATTTCATGGTGGGAGGGTCACGAACTCGCATCACTCATGTAACACATCTCTCCCATGGGCCATGCTGTGCCCAGCCACGGCGTAGGGATGGTGCCGGCGATCCAGGGGAGTGTCAGTCTTGACCTTGAAGATCCCCCAGGCTATGTGGGAGACAGACCCAGAAATACAAAGATTAACTGCTGGGACAGAAGGAAGCCGGGAGCCTGGGCACAGAGAGACCCAAGTCCTGAGCATGAGGGAAGCCTGCCCGGGGAGACGATGCCCAGGCTGGCCTCTGAATGGATCTGCGCAAGGCTTTTCTGGGCTTGGGACATGAGCTACAAAGGAGTGATGAGGAAGTTCTGGGGCGCCGGGGTTGGGGGGTGGACCAGTGTGTCCAGAAAAAGAGGAGTGAGAAGGAGGGTGCTCGTGATCGGGCTGGAGAGGCCCAGGGACAGGTCTGACCTTTTGTGCATGAGGGCCTGGCTGGGCTGGCCCCGTGTGCGTGCTTTGCCTGCACCATCTCCTTTGGTCCTGATGATGCCCAGGGTACAGATGAGCAAGTCGAGGGCTAGAGAGGAGCTTGTCTCATAGCTAGCTGAAGCCCACGCCGCCTACCCGTCCAGAAGGAATCCAGGCAGCAGTGAGGGGCCCCTGGGGTGGTGGGCAGCAGTGTGGCCCATTGTTTTCAAAGCTGGCTCTGGCTTCTGGGTGGAGGGAGGGATTGCAGGGAGGAGGCTGAGCTGAGGCAGGGCTGCGCCGATGCCCTGCCCCCCAGCTCAGTCATCCAGCCCCCCCTGGGAGTCCTGCATGCGTGGACCCACCTGACTGTGTCTTCCCTCCCACCCTTTCAGGCTAAGCTGGCTTCCCTGGTCCAGAAGTGTCGGGAGAGGAACCACCTGATCACACACCTGCTCCAGGAGCTGCACAGACACGGGGTGGAGAACCACCAGCTCTCCGAGACGGCAAGCAACATGGTGAATGACGCGGCGCTGGCTGAGTACGCGGCCACCTTCCTGGCTCCGGGGGTCCCACAGGTAGATTCCCACAGACAGCCCTGCCCTCTTCCTGTTGGGGCTGTGAGCTCAGCAACACACCCTCCACCTGCCTGCCCCGCCCTGTGTCAGTTCAGCATCAAACAAGCACCGTGGCGTTTATTTCACTAGATGGGTCTTTCACGTGTGCCTCAAGACCTTAGCACTCACTGCTTCCTCTGGCAGATTTTTTTGTCTGTCCTGTAGCCCTCCCATCCATCCTTCAGGGCACAGTTCAGGTGTGACCTTGCCCAGGAGTCTGCTCTAAATTCCACGGGCCACAGGATTAGCCACACGCCCCTCCGTCCTTCATTGCACATGGATGTGACTGACGTGGGACATTCGAGGGATTTGCCCCCTAGCGTTAGGGGAGTTTTGTCAGCGTTTCTCTGTTGAAACCAGAGGTGCTTCATATCCATTTCTGTCGCCCTAGTGCCTGGCACAGAAAAGCTGCTCAGGTAATATTTGTTGAATGAATGAAGTAATGAAGTAAATGAATGAGCATCTCCTCTCCTAATGGTCTACAGGAGAGGGAGGAAACAGGCTCAGAGAGGTTGGAAGTCTCTCTTGAGGTCACACAGCTACCAGGTAGTGCAGGTGGTGATGGATACCAGTTCTGACCCAGGTCTAGTAAACACGCTCCCGGGTCTCCGCCTGGCTCTCAACAGTGGTACCTGGGTGTCTGTGTGCATGCAGCACCCTCGGGTGCTCAGCTGAGCCTGCCCATGCGCGCGCGTGCGCAGACGCACACGCACACACACACACACACACACACACACACGCAAGCGCGCACACATACTCAGGCGCACAGCCCCATTCCTGGGGACCAACCAGCTGTGCCCCCACCAGACTAGCTCAGCTCCTGATGATGCGAAGCAAAATGCAGCTGCTGCTGTGCCTGCAGCCAGCCCTGTTTTCCATCTGCCCTTAGGGGGGCCTGCTTTGGGCAGTGTAGCCCCAGGCCTGCATCACCTTCCTCAGCCTTCCCAGCCCAGCCTCTGCAGGCCGATCCTCTCTGTCCCTTCCTTGCCCCACAGCCTTCAGGGTTTTAGATGTCCTCTCATCCAAATTGCCACACAGCGGACATGGACACCAGGAGGCCAGGGAGCCTGCTCAGGGCCATGGCGACTTGGTTCAGAGCCAGAATTTGAATCCAGAGCCCCAGACTCCCGGTCCAGTGCTCATCCCTTTGCCCGAGCCTCTTCAGAGGCAGAATAAGGATGGGGAGAGAGGTCAGTATCTTGTCAAGGGACCGAGCACAGTCCCTGTGTGCAGAGTTCTAGGAAAGATGTTGGATGCAGCAGGTGTCACCTGGGAGGGAGGCTGGCTGTGTGCTGAGAAGGCATCATTGCAGTGAGGGCCCCACCCTCCAAGGGCTGCTCTCGGTCTGGCAGGCTCTGAAATTAGACCCGATTTGTTCACTGGGATTGAACAGGCTGACTTACATTAACCAAATTCACAGAGACTGAGGTATAAACCTGAACACTAACTTAATTTCCCATGAGAGATCGAACTATGTGCGGGATGAAATATTGGATGGATGAAAAAATAATCAGCATATTCTCTCCCTATAGTGGAGTTATCTAGAAAGTCAAGTTCATTCATTCATTTGTTCATTTGTAAGTCAATATATATTTATAGTCAGAAGGTTATTCAATGAGAACAGAGAGTGTTAATGGTGTCATCAGCCTGATGCGTTAGTTTCCTGTAAGGATGTGCTCCGCATGCTTCCCCTGGGGCCAGGGTGTCTCCCCACCCAGACCTTTTGAAAGGCTAAGGGGAATCATAAGCTTCTACTTCCTCCTTTTAAGGTGACTTTGAATCCGCCGTGACCCATTTTGCATCATTTTGCAGTTCAGCTCACCAAGGACACCCCCACTTTCATGATCTGGGGGGTGGCTCACTGTTCCCTCCACAAACCACAAAAGCCTGGCTCTGCCATTTTATTCCACAAATATTTATTAAGCACCTATTGCCACAAGTCAGGCATGGTGCTTGGGGTTGGGGAGAAATGGTGAACCAAACAGGCCAAAACGTGCATGCAGTCAAGGAGAGAAATAATCATAAATTATAGCAAGTGTCAAGAAGGAAGGGCTTAGACAGAGACTGTGTGTGTGTGTCTTTGGAAAAGACCTTAATTGCTCTGAGCCTCAGTTTGCTCATCTGTAAAATGGGAATATTACGACCTACTTGGCAGAATGGACATGAAGACAGATGGAGATCATGAAGCACCTTGTGTAGGGATGTCCCACGAGTTAGGAACCTGGTCCTCGGGTGGGCAGTTGCCAAGGGGGAGGGTTCTGGCACCCAGGAGCCCTGGCTTCAAATCTTAGTTCTGCCGCTGTCTAGCTCTGTGGCCTTAGGAGGGGACATTGACATGTATCACTTACCGTGGGGGTTTTATGTAACTGACTCAAGTAGTCCTTCCGCGGGGGAGGTGCTCTTATTATCCCCCTTTCCAGACTGGAAAACTGAGGCTCAAAGGGGTTACAAGTCGTGCCCAAAGACACACGTCTATAGCAGCTTTCTAGCTCAGCTTTTTGTGTGTTAAATCGTTTGCCTGAGCAGAGCTGGGATTTGAACCTGGCCGTGGGATTCTGTGCACTGAAGCTCCGACCCCTATGCGAAGGGGGATGTGTTGTGTGTCCTGCAGGGCTGTGGGGCATGTGGGCAGCAGCACGGGCTCTGGCACATACAGACTAGGCCTTTGGTGAGTCTGTCCCTCTTGTCACTGGAAGGCCAATCCTCAGTGTGCAGATATAAGGCAGTGGGAAAAAAAACCCTGTGGTGTGTTTAAGAAGCAAAGAGGGCTCCAGGCTGGCTGGAGTGAGGGATCCCAAGTGGAGGAGTTCCAAGAGGCTGGATGGGGAGGTCACGGACACCTGTCTGCCCGCAGGGGTGTTTGCATTTGGTTCTTCAGTGAATGTGGAGCTGCTGAAGGGGTGGAACAGGATCGATGTGCTTCGGGAAGAGGAACCCTGCAGGCCTGTGTGCTGGACTGAGCTGCCGAGTCCCAGGAAGGCCATGCACATGGCAGCCAGTTGGCTCCGGCCGGGAACACCCAAGGCCCAGGCAGCCGAGCAGAGCTCTGGGGGCACAGAGACCCTGGTGGCTGTGGTAGCAGCTACTCCTGCTGGCAGCTGGGCAGGACGTGGGTTTTACGGGTGCTGATTCTCGTTTCAGAGAACACAGATGGAATTCCTGATGGGGACACTGGGCTTAGGCTTAGAGCCCGGGAGGGCTGCCTGGCTGGCTGGGGTAGAAGGGACACTCATGGGCTTGGGGAGGGGATGTGCCAGAGCAGAGAAGCAGGGGAGTCCCAGAAGCACTGAGGCTAGCGTACTTGGGCCCCGGGAAGCTCATGTGCACTGGCCCCTGCCCTTGGGAGGGAGCCCACACTAACCACAGATACCTGAGAGAGGACGGGGTGTGGGCTATGGCGGTGGGGGGAGCCCACCAGGACAGGCTGCCGTTCATTTATTCACTGGAAGCGGTGATGATGGCCGAGACTCACAGAGCCTCCCCTGAGCAAGCACTTTCTGTGGTTCACTCACTTCATCCTCCCAACATCCCACTTTGTCAAGGAGGAGACTGAGGCCCAGAGTGGTCAGAGAGCTGGTTGAGGTCACAAGCAGGGGTGGTGGGCTGGGGGTTCAGAGCTGGGGTCCATCTGAGCTCCTACCCTTTCAGGAAGGGGGTGCTCACCCCACAGCGGTGGCTCAGGGTCGTTCACCGCCTCCCATTGACTTCCTTTTCTTGCCCTGGTTGGGTGGGATATAGAAATTGAGCCTTGGTCGGCTCAGCATCTGTGTCCTTTCTTCGGGGCTGCATCTAAGTATCTTAGTCTGTTGGGACTAATTTAACAAAAATACCGCAGACTGGGCAGCTTAAATAGCAAACATTCATTTCTCCCAGTTCTGGAGACTGAAAGCTGGGGATCGAGGTGCTGCACGGTGGTGGGGGCTCTCTTCTTGGGGAGCAGATGGCCACCTTCTCACTGTGTCCTCACATGGTGGACAGAGAGGCCGGCTCTCTCACACCTCTTCTTATAAGGGCACCGATTCCATCCTGAGGACTGTGTCTTCATGACCTGATAACCTCCCCAAGACCCCACCTCCAAATACCCACTGAGGGACCAGGACAGGTGCATGGGTAGATGGGGGCTACCTGGCCCTCAGAGCTGCCATCTCCCTGAGCTGGTGTATTGTCCATCCCTTAGAATCTCGGCTGCCACTGTCCACAGGTTGGCCTTGCATCCGCCCTGGTGTCCTTCTAGCTCTGCTGGTTCTCCTCAGCTTGGGCATTGGTCCTGAAGCAGGAGGATTCCATGAGGCTAGCTTGGCCAGCTCTCCTACTGTCTTCCCTCTGGGAACATGGGGTCTTGCCACCTCCCTGGCTTTAGCTGAGATGCGGGCACAGGAAGGGTGGGCTCCTTCCATTCTTGGACTCCTAAATGGAAACGGGGGATTCTCAGTTCCACCCCATCCCCCAAACTGGCTTGACTGGGCAGGGCTCAGGGCACCTTCTCAGGGCCTCTTAAGTTCCTCGCCCCCCTCCCCAGTCCCAGGACACCTATTTTTTCTGGATTTCACCGGGACCTAGGCTGTTGACATTCCCAAGCCAAGAATGAGACACCTTCTTTGTTGCTTGTACTCAGGTGTCATCCCCTTCTTGGAGGCAGATGCCCAGGTGCCAGGGGGAAGTGGTTCAGGGGTGCCCTCCTGCCCATGCTTTCAGGGTCCAGCCTGGGGTCAGCTCAACAAATGGAAGGTCCATCAGAGACCTGGATGGGTTCACCCTACCTGACTCCCTGCAGTTCCTGGGACGTGAGGATTATTGCCCTCTCTTCAGACACCGAGTTTCACCTGGCAGATAAAGACACCCCAGCTCCTGAAGAATTGCCACTCTGTGACAGTCCTCTGTGCCAAGCCACTCGGTGCTCGTCCTTCACCTCCCGAAGCCGCCTGCTCTCTTAGGCCTTGGTAGCAAGGGGCGGAGGTTGCTGACTTCTTGTAAGGCTCTTTGAGGGTTGAACAAGATCCCACCTGAAATTCCCCTCACAGTGCTGTCACATAAAGACACTCACAGAGGATGTAGGGTCCCTTCAAGCAGAACCAAAGTATTGCTCCACTGGGGGAGGTCAGGGGATTGTTGTACTAACACCTGAGGGTCATGGAGACCCCAGCCTCGGAGAGATGCAAGCCACCTGGCAAGGAGGCTGCTAATTCCACTTCCTCCTGCCCTGCTTTTTCCTCTTTTTTCCATGTCCTGGAAACATCTTGCTCTCCTCTGGGCATTGGTCAACAAGATCTATATATGGGCCTTTGGAAATGGAATCTCATCTTGAAAGAAGCAGTGAGACTGAGAGTCCTAAACTCCCTTAATTCATTAAATCAACGACCCCAAGCCTGGGTCCCCAAGGATCCAGGCAATTATTTTCTCTTGATGTCCTACCTTTTATGAAGTTGAGACTATTCCCCCAAAAATTTACCTGGGGAGAGAGGTGGGGGAGTGGAGTGGAGTGGAGTGGAGTGTGTAGGGTGAGCCTTTATCCGTCTGCTACTGTATGTGGAACAGTTAGTAGACGTTCATCCTTATTTCACTCTGACAAAACCCTGCAAGGACCATATTAGTGGCTCTACTCTGCAGATGGAGAGGACAAGGCTCAGAGAGTTCAACTGACTTGGCCAAGACCATGGAGCCCGTAAGCAGCAGAGCCAGGATTCAACCTGAGGCCGCCTGGCTCCAAGCCTCTCCAGGCCTATGGGGTAAATGAGCAGCAGAAAGCAGAGGAAAGGTCTATAGATCTCTGGTCAGGTACTGAATGCAGTGGTTCCAGAATTAGTTCAGTGCCTGTGAGACTACTCTGTGGACACAAAAGTCAATGAAGCCTCGGTATCACTTTGAAGAGGTCTGTGTCTTGTCAGACTAGCTCCAAACCCAAGTGTGAACAAAAGCATTCACTTGCAACACAGCAATGAGCAGAGAGAAGGAGACTTATTCGGGAATATAATCCCTGGAGAAGGAAGCACACAAAATAGGCCTTGAAGGATTCAAAAAGAAGAGTTTTACTAGCTGGAATGATAGAGTGAAGGCCCTCTAGGCTGGGAGACCTGCATGAGCAAAGGCCCTGGGGTGTGAAGGGTCATGGTACTCAAAGACACACAGTTTTAGGGGATATAAGTGAAGTGCTCTCAGAGCAGAGTTACCCTTGCCGCTTCACCTCTTCCTGTGTGCATGTGGGGTCCAGGAGGACAACTAGTCCACCAGGGGGTGGTGCAGGGACTCAGGTCCAGCCCGACCTGGTTTCCTGGGTGACTCAGTTGGGAGTCCCCGGTGCAGCTCAGCAATCAGCTCTCACAAGGTGTCAAAGGGACTTCCACACAGGGAGAGTATTTCTCCTGGAGACTCTGCCATCCAGCTACCCTCATTTTCCCCCTTTTAACAGCTTTTAAAATGCAGTCATCAGTTTCCCTTTGGAGATTCAATTTGAGTAAAGCAAGTGGAAGCTTTTCCTTGAACCTCTATCCCTGGGAGCAAATCCTGGACCCCCTGAGGATTGTAGGCAGAGGGGAGGTCCTGCCTGTATTTTCGTGCACACAGGGAGGAGTGGATCTGGCCATAGAATATGCACTTTTTGCAGCGGTGAGGGGCCTGATTTTTCCAGTTGCAGTTGTCTGTAGAAGGCTTTTCCAGCTGTGTCATGAAGAATAACTGCTCAGATGTCTTTTCTTGCAGACGAGCCATCACCTGGACGTCGAGTCTGAGAAGACAACAGTTGTAAGAGGTCAGTGTGATTTTCAGTTAGGAGCAGTCTGCATGCTCAGACACAGTCCACACCGGCAGGACAATCTGACAGGTGGGCCAGGGTGGGGAAAAGCCCACGGTCAAGTGCAGATGACTAAAGGAAACCCGACCCCGCTATCTTGCACTCTCTTCCCTACTGACTCTGCCTTTTCATTTCACTACTTAAGGAGAACGCATTAGAAAAATACTGCCACTGCCAAAATGGCCAAATTCTGCAACCCTGTAGTTTCAGTCCTGGAAATTTATCCTAAGTAAATAATTCTATATGTGGAAAAGCTCAATGGACAGGCATATTCATGCCAGGGTATTTATAACAGTGAAAAATCGTGGGGAAAAACTCCAGTATTGTTAATTAACCCATCTTAACTGAGTATGGAGTACTAATCCCTAAAATGATGCTGATAAGGACCACGTGATAGCACGGAATTAGGATATCCTACTAAGTTAAAAAAGGATACAAAATGGAATGTATCGGATGACTACAATGATACAACTGTATGTGAACATCTGTGAATGATTGGCAACTTAGGCTGGAAGATAAACTAAAATACCAATAGTGGTTACTTAGATGATAACATGGGTGGGGTTTTGTTGTTCTATTATTCTTATTGTTAAAAAGAAAATTAAGATGCTATCTGGCCAGAGGGAATTTCCCTGGGCCTTTTTTACAAGTGCAGTGTACTATCAGCCCTGGGGGAGGGGGGTTCCTTAGGGTTTGTTTAGGGTTACTTTGTTTTCGGGTGCTCAATGTAAAAGTGAAGAAAGTATGGATAGAGTTACCTTTAGGCAACTGAGCTGCTCTTGATAACTGCTCGCTTAGCAATTCTTATTACTAGATTCTGTTCTTAAAGCTGTGTGATCTTGGATGAGTTAATTAACCTCTCTGAGCCCCAGACTCCTATCTTTAAAAGGAGGATAACATGATCTTTTTTAGAAGTGTTAGTGCCTGACACACTGCAGGGCGCCAACAAACAAGAAGAGGTACCTGGCTTCAGTTTTTAGCTGGTCAGGATGGGCCTGCCCTTCTGTACCTTTGTCTCCTATCCCTAAAATCTGAGTTGACATCTGTTTTCACAGTTGGAGGTGCATAAATTCTAGCTGGTCCTGCTTCTGCCACTAGTTTATGTCCCTTCTCTGGGTAGGATCCTCACCTTTAAAAGAAGGAAATGTACTAGATTAATTTAGTTACTTATTCATTCAGCATATCTAGAAGGTTGCCATGTGCCAGATCCCTGATAGGTGCTGTAGGGCTTGCAAAAATGAGTCAGCTTCAAAAGTGGTGGTCCTTGTGCTGAAGGAGCTTACAGCCTGGTAGTGGACAGTGAAGCAGGCAGGCAATTTTCTAGGATATCCCAAGACCATGGCAGTACCATCAGAGGGCTGTGAATGTGGCACTCAGAGTTCAGATGCACCCAAGAGGGCCTCTGTTGTGGGGTGAAGGGATCTGGTAATGAAAGACAATGAAAAGGTTCAGAGACTTGTTGATTTTTTTTTTTAAGGTTCTTTTATGACATATAGGGTTTTTCTTAATTTATTCATTTATTTATTCAATTTTGGCTGCGTTGGGTCTTCGTTGCTGCACGCGGGCTTTCTCTAGTTGCGGTGAGCAGAGGCTACTCTTCATTGCAGTGCTCAGGCTTCTCATTGTCATGGCTTCTCTTTGTGGCAGAGCATGGGCTCTAGGCACGCAGGCTTCAGTAGCTGTGGCACGCGGGCTCAGTAGTTGTGGCTTCCAGGCTCTAGAGCACAGGCTCAGTAGTTGTGGTGCATGGGCTTAGTTGCTCCGGGACATGTGGGATCTTTCCGGACCAGGGCTTGAACTCGTGTCTCCTGCACTGGCAGGCAGATCTTAATCACTGTGCCACCAGGGAAGTCCGACTTGTTGATTTCTAGGATAGACTTCTGAACTGAGGCTTGACTGAGAACATTCTCTTCTAGCTCAGAAATACCTCCTGAATCCTGAAATGGACAGTGTCCTCCAAAGACCTTTGCATTCAGAGTCCTGGCGTATTCCAGAGGCTGAGTGGCCAGCACAGACAGCTCAACTGGATTCTTTGAAGGTGAGAGGACATCAGTCACTTAATTTCTCAAATAAATGTTTTTATTGAAAGTATAACTCACATACAGAAAAGGGTACAACTCGGAAATGTACAGCTCAATGAATTGTCATGGAGTGGTATGTGCCCATAAAGCCATCACCAGGTCCAGAACTAGAAAGTGACCACAAAGCACCCCTCTGTTTTCCCCTTCCAGTCTCTTTTTATTATCTGTTTTTAAATTTTGTGTGTTGGGTCCTATCATGTGTTCTGTGTCTTGTTATTTTTCACTGAGTGCTAGACATCATGTGTGAAAATGTGAAGATGTAATTTGATAGTGTCTTCATCCAGACAGGACTTCCTTTGTTCTGCACATCAGAAGTGATTCAGAGATAACTTTAGTACTTAAGAGATCTGTTTTATTTCTTGCTCACTCTTACTCTTAGGGCATAGCCTTTCATGGTTCCAAGCAAAAACCTGTAATGTTTATCAGTGTCCTTCCCCAGCCACTTCCCACTCCATGAGGCTGTCAAAATCTCTGCTTAGCTTTCTACCTCTCAGCCACCACAATCACACACAGGCTTCACCTTCACTTGGAGGGGAATACAGCCTTCAATCTGGGCCAACTACTCTTGGCTTCTGTCCTATCTTGAATTTTAGTCCCACAAATCCTCACAGTCTTAGTAGCTCTCAGATGGTTTCAAATAGATCTTTTGCTCTATTTTGTCCAGCTTTCCTAGATGCTCTTACTGGAGGTTTGGTTCAAAATGTCCTAATCAGTCAGAGCCAGAGAAGCACTCTGTTTTCCCAGAGAAAACCTATTTTACTTGTGATATTTGGAGTCTGACAGGCCTGAGTTCAAATCTCAGCTGTAATTCAGTGTGATGTTGGGTGGATTACTTACTTTGTCTGTGCTTAAATCTCCTCATCTGTAAAATGGGGATAACGCTGCCTACTGCTCATGTGAGGATAAAATCAGATAAGCAGAGTTGAATATGTCTCTGGAAAATAAGAGATGCTCAAAAAAAAGAAAAAAGCAGCCATTACTTAGGAGGAAACTGATCTTATTCTGGGCATTTTATTTCAACGTATTATTGTTTCTCTTCTTCCTTTTATTCCTGTGGCTTCTCTCTTGCCTTCATGCTTACATTAATTTTTTTAATCTAACAAATGGAGCTAATATTTACTTGTCGGGGTCTTTGGGACAATTCAATGAAATCATGCACATAACATAATTACTGTACTGCCTGGCACAGGAGGTGTTCAATAAATGACAGCTGGTGTTATTGATTGACCTTAAACTTTCTTTTTCTAACTTTCATTTCAAATTACTTATCTGCAGGCTTATTATCTAGTAATGAGAACTTCTTTCCAGCTTTGATCTTTTTCTAGGAAAATTACATCTGACTTTTGATCTTTGACCTACCTTATTACAAGCAGGTAGAAGGCATTTTAGGCAAAGGGAATGACACCTGCAGAGACAGAGGGGTGAATGCTCCTGAAGCACTGGGGGATTGGTAAGCAATTAAATGAGGCTGCAGCATAAAGGAGAGAGGAGTCTAGGAGATCATAATGATGATGTTGATAAGAACAACAACGAGAAAGAAAACCCCTGCTTCCATTTCTTGAATGGTTACTATGAGCAATGCATCAGCATTTCCAGTAGTCACATAGGCCCACAAAATAGATCTTGACATTCACTCCACTTCACCTGGGAGAAAAGGTGAGGCACAGAGAGGGTAAGTAGCCAGCCCCAGGTCACACAGCTAAAGAGCTGGGGTTCCAACACAGGCAGTCTGGCTCTAGAGCTGATGCTCTGGTCCTTATGTGTCCAGATCGTGCTGGGCCTTCACTGGGGAGATTAGAGTTGTCTCTCCTGCCCCGCCTTGAGGTAGCAATCTGGAGTTCAGTGTGAGAAAAAAACCCTCCAATGTCTGCACTCAGTGATACTGGCCAGAAACTGATAGCAAAGCTTTTGAGGAAATAGTTGGAGCATAAATTGAATGAATGGATGAACCCAAGTGCATCTTAATACTCATGGTTCCAAGTTTCTCAAGTGTTCCTCAACCCGCTTCCCAGTTCTCACCACACTGTAGAATATGCTGCTGGATGAAATCTCTTCCTTTATTGGACGTAATTTCAAGGCCACAGGATACTTTTATTTCTTTATAGCCAGAGGACAGAATAGTCAGTGTAATGTCTTTGTTCTTCGAGTGCTTTACACAATACCCGGTCCGCAGGAGGCCTTGCTGGGTGGATTTGGATGAAGAGTGAGGCGGTGGGAGGAGGCTGTTGGGCTCTTTCTCTAGAAGCTCATGCGAGCACCTCGTCCTTATCCCCAGCATTGCATTTTGCCCACAGCCTTGGTTCTGTTCAGCTGTAACAGGCATTGGGGAGCAGAGCTCTCTGCCCTAGGAAAAACAGATTGCAAGCCGTCTCTCTGGGCCGGCTTTTGGTACGAGCTTCCCGTGGTGAAAACGAACTCTAAACGACACCAGGGCATTAGTGACCTAGAAGGAAAACGAGGTCATTTTTGAAGGGAAGTAACTAGATTTGTCATACGTCACAATTATTTTATGGTTGAGCTTAGAGGGGAAAAAAAAACAAAAATGGGAGTAGGAGGTTGGCATCCGGTGGATATTGCTTTCCTTTTAATAGAAAGGTCATCATCTCTTGTCGCCGTGAACAACAAAATTTACAGAGGACATGACTCTATGGAGATGCCGTCAGTGATCGTCTCTTGTCAGGCCTTTAGATGACCTGGGCTTCGAGCCTTCCCCGCCCCAATCCCCAGCGCCTCATCTATAACTCAGTGCTGATGGCGTGTGCCTCACTGACATCTAATAGCAGCTGCCTGGCACAGAAAGTGCTCAATAAATGTTTGTTATTGTTGCCATCTCTTCCTTGGATAAACTGTGGGACCAAAGGGGCTTTTATGGACGTGTAGTAGTAGAGACCATTTCGTTGTGCTCTTGCCTCCAGCTTCCCTGGCCCTTGGGGCCGATGCCCGACCCTGGAATGTGCCAGGCATCCATCGCTGTGGAAGCAGGGCTCCCTGTACAACGTCTGCAAGAAAAAGGTGGAATGTCCTGGCCTGGCCTCCAAGCTGAGCACCTCCTGCCATCCCCCGAGCTCCTGAGCCCCGCAAGGATCCTGGCTTTGCATCAAGAGCTTCGACAAAGCATCTGCAGCACTTCCCAGGTCAATAAATCACCGTTGGAGTTATAAATGGAATAGGACCACTTACTCTCTGGGGCCATTTCCTAGACTCCGTAAATATTTGAAGCAGAACTTTCAGAGAACATCTTAAGAAATTGGTAGCAATCAAAACCCTCATTCAGTGGCAAGTGGCTTTGCCTGTGGCTTGGGGATCTGTGTTGATTGTCAGAGCTCAAGAGAAATACTGGACTTGCGAATTCTTAGGAGTCCAGCTTTGCAAATATTCAGGCAGCAAAGGGAATATTTTCTGTCCCAAAACCTACCAAGTGACCGGCCCAGTGGCTCTCCACTGGGTATGATCCCCCCATCCCTCAGGGCAAAATTTGACAACGTCTGGAGAAATTATTTGTTGTCACAGCTGGGAAGCTGCCACTGGCATCTAGTGGGTAGAGGCCAGGGATGCTGCTAAACACCTCCAGCGCACAGGACAGCCTTCTAGAACAAAGAATTGTCCAGCCCAAATGTCAGCAGTGCCAGGGTTGGGAGGCTCTGGCCTGATCTAATAGCTCCTAACGTTGTCAGCTGCAGAGAACTGTTTGGTTATTTTCCTGCCTGGGGCCCTTCCCCATGTTTTAAAAGATTTTTGTCTACCAAAGGAGACAAGTTAAGTAATTATCTCTTTCACATTTTAAAACATTAAAACCAATCAGAACTTTCTGACAAGTCCATTCATTCAACAGACATTTGTGGACATCTAATATACACCAGGCAATGTGATATGAGGGAGAAAGAGGTGAGTCCACATTGGCCCCTGCCCCAGGGGCTCACAGGGCTGCAGAGGCACACATGTAGACAACTCACCGTGCAGTCATGGTTAAGTGTGCCGTGAGATGTGAGACAAAGGGCTTTGAAGCCAGTTCTGCCCGGCTTTGGGGAATGGGAGGTCATTCCAGAAGGAATGGCTAAGCAGAGCCCATAGACCCAACGAGGTAAGGTGTTCAGTACGTGGGTGAGGTGGGGAAGGAGGGAACAGCGTGGGCAAAGGCTCTGAGGATGAAACTGAACATTGGTGTGCCACCAGAGGGGGGATGTGCAGAGTAGCCCTTTGCCAAGCCAGGTGCAGAGAGTCACTGCCTCATCCCTACCCAGCACCACTTACTTCCTCCGGGAACAGGACCCTGCCCTGACCCAGGTGTGGGACCCAGAGGCAGAAGAGTCAAGGGGGCTTTGGGCCACAGGTGCCCAGATCCTGTCCCCGGGCTCACCGATCAGAGACGTCATCTCTGTCCTTAGGAGGGGCTGGTGAGGGGCTTGTCACATAAGGACAAGGAAGGACCAGGACAAGAAACCGAGGGCTCCTGGGGCAGTAGACAAAGCATATTGATTTTATTTTAATGTATTTTAGCTTTGTATGTGGAAATGAAAAGTGCAAAGAGTTCCCACACACCCTCACCCAGCTTCCCCTGACGTCAACACCTTATGTACCTAACCATAGCCCAAGGACAGAAATGAATGCATTTATTTTGAGGAAAACTGGGGGACCATCAAGGCATAAGAAAAGCACATCCATGAGCGAGCATAAGCTCATCAAGCTGCCACCATCTTCATTAGCCCACGGGACTGTCATGGGTCGTCACGTCCGTCCACAGTTCCTTGGATTAGGTTACCAATGGATCCACCCATTCATTTGTTCATTAAGCATTTAATTTAACTGCCATGTGAGCTCTGGAACCTCGGGTAGGTGCTGGGAAACAAGAATACAGAAGATGCCCATCTCCATCCTCCAGCACCTCCTGTGAGCCCTGTGGCCCCATCACACACCAAGAAGCCCCCAGATTGGAAACCACTGCAGTCATCACTTTCGCGGCTTGAATCAGCACAGCCGCCCCGTAACTGCCAATTGTGCGGCGTCCTGCAGAGCCCATCTGTATGCTGGTTTGCGCTCACCTCTTCTGCCCGCTCCTCCCTGCTTTCGGGGACAACGCCATCAGCTCGGAGCACCGGGAGTACGCTGAGGACAGGCTATGAACCGGCTGATGTCGGGGTGAGCAGCCAGCTAAGCCACAGGGCTGAGCCTGCCGGAGGCAGTCAAGGCCATTTCTGGTCCCCAGGTTCTCCCACCAGGTTCAGACATCCGTGTTCTGTCCCTTGAATTCTCCCTCCCGCCTCTGCTCACATGCTGGGCTTCAGCAGAAAGGCCACCGGGGAAAATCCATTAGAGAAGCCACGGCAATCTCTGCAGCGTAGCCCGATGACTCCATAATAAATCATGTTCTGAAGCCAGGAGCCACTTATTATTAACCTGAGCCGTGAATCCGCCTGGGGCTGGCACTTTGGATTTCCTCAAGCTGGGTCACTGCTCTGGGCTGTGATTCCTCCTGGTGACACGTTTGCGGTGGTGGATGGTAGACTGCGGCACTTTCCTTGCCTCGACCGAAGACTCCCATCCCTGGAAGGGGCCCAGTGTTCCCCTGCTGCCCCCTTGGTGGGCCTGATGGGGCCAGGGCCCAGCCTGGTCAGACGCTCCCAGGCGAGGGACAGGACCTGCTCCGGCGACCGAGTGGGGACAGGCAGGAACCCAGCCCACAGGAGCTGGCTCGGGCCGCCCCTCCCACCACGAGTGACCCAAGGCCTCTGGAGACCAGCCAGATGGACCAGCTCAGCTGCCTCTGCAGAAAACAATTTGTCACACGGGGCTGTCAGCAAGCAGCAGTGGATGCCTTCTTGGGGGCGCCTGGCCGAGCTACGCAGAGCAGGAGCCCTGAACACAGTGAGGTGAATGCACACCCCACCCCCGCTGCTGCGAACCACCTGGGCTTTTAGGCAAATCGGATGAGAGGGTTGGCTTGACCCCTGGCCAAGCGGTTCAGGTGCTCGATGCAGCC